TTGACTTCTGCAATTACAAGAGAGGTGCTCAAAGTATTACCATCAGCGTCCAGACATTTCTGATTACTGTGAACTACTGCGGAACTTGTTGCCGTGTGAGGCCTCCCGGATCTTTCCTTGTGCATATCACATATGGTACCACGCGTCTCAAACTTAACACATATGCTTGCAGTTGTTAGGCGTGTTGGAGGTTCTGTTGCACACTCATGCCTCCATTGTCATACTTCCATAATATTCTCAAATTTCAAATACCACTTCAAAATGGTCTTGCGCTCCTCGAATGACACTGTGCTTCTGCCATTTTCCTTGTCCTTCCTGTCACATGGCGACGCTAGCATTCATTTGATTAACATGATTTTTTAAGCGAAACATCACACTACACATTGCTACCGTAATTCCATTTGACTTCTTTTTTTTTTTTTTTTTTTTTTTTTTTGAGTGGGAGTCTCACTCTGTCCCCCAAACTGGAGTGCAGTGGCTGCTCCCAGCCACCACAGCCTCGACCTGCTGGGCTCTGGCGATCCTTCCGCCTCAGTCTTCCGAGTAACCGAAATTACAGGCGCGCGCTACCACGCCTGGCTAATTTTTTGATTTTATTGTAGAGATGAGGTCTTGCCTGCCCAGGCAGGTCTCGAATCCATGGGCTCAGGCAATCCACTCACCTCAGCCTCCCAAAGGCGCAGGATTACAGGCTGAGCCACCGAGCCCGGCACTGACTTTTGTTTTTTTTTTTTGAGTTGGAGTCTCACTCTGTTGCCCAGACTGGAGTGCAGTGACCGCTCCTGGCCACCGCAGCCTCGACCTGCTGGGCTCTGGTGATCCTTCAGCCTCAGCCTTCCAAGTAGCCGGAATTACAGGCACGCACTACCACACCCTGCTGATTTTTTTTTGATTTATTGTAGAGATGAGGTCTCGCTGCCCAGGCGGGTCTCGAACCCGCGGGCTCAGGCAATCCACTCACCTCAGCTTCCCAAAGGCGCGGGATTACAGGCTGAGCCACCGAGCCTGGCTCCATTTGACTTCTAAAAGTAATACATAGATAACATTGCTTAAAGTGTGTATACATTTTTTTGGTACTCCTGGTAGATTGCTTAGTTTTAGGGCATTAAAATGTCATTTTCCTTGAGTCATCAGAAGTATTTGAGAGTCTCCCTGATTTTGCACCTGATTATATGAATAGATTTCTATTTGATGACTTATAATTTAGTTTTTCTTTATTAGATAAATTCATTTGTTATAAATATTTTGTGTAAGATAAAATGAGCCACTCCTTTGTATAACATATAATTTAAGTTCAAATCTTCCCTTTTCATGGAAGGAGTTTGTTTAATTGATTGCGTGTTTATTGAAATATGACTTCTAGGGGAAGACCGAGTGAAGCAGCATTTTAAAGATTACTTTTTTTTTGAAGGTGTCAGCTAACAAGGGTGAAATTGGTGATGCCACTCCATTTAATGATGCTGTTAATGTGCAGAAGATTTCTAATCTTTTATCTGATTATGGCTATCATCTCAGAGGAAATGAGGTATATGTGCTCTGCATTAACTTGTCACATTTTTTGGGTATGTGTGTAGTTCCAGTCTTAAAAATAAAACCTTTTTTTGAAGTCTAACACTTCAAATATATTCATATATTATAAAGGTTCAACTTGATGGATTTTCGTGAGATTGAACACACCTGTAGAACGAGCACCAAGATCTAGAAAAGAAAATTACCAGAACCCTTTTATGCCCAGAAGCTCCCTTCTAGCCACTTTCCCACCCCACCCATGCTAACCACTCTCCGACTGCTGAAATTATAGATGAGCTGTTTTGATTTTATATAAATGGAATTGTACAGTATATGCACATGTCTTTGAATGTGTAGTATCTTTAGATCTGTGTTTCAAAGTCTGTTTGTTTCAGGTCCTCTACAACGGGTTCACTGGTCGAAAAATCACATCACAAATTTTTATTGGTCCCACTTATTACCAGCGTTTGAAGCACATGGTGGATGATAAGATTCATTCTCGTGCTAGAGGACCTATTCAGATCCTTAATAGACAGCCCATGGAGGGCAGATCTCGGTAAGAGCTGCGTCATCATGGTTATTATTCGTTAACCTTTTAGTAGGAAAAAGGTCAGACACATAACGCAAATAGAGAGAGTGGCATAATGGACGCCTATGTATCTGTCACCCGATTTCAACAGTGATCCACTCATGGTCCTTCCTGTTGCATTCATCTCCCCCTTCCTGCTAGCCTTTATTTTTTTTTCAGTTTCGTTGCAGGTTTTTCTTTTTTTTTAATTATAAAGATGTGGGGTACAGTTCAGGGTTAGGTATACAAGTGCTGATTATGCAGATATCCTTGTTGATGACGTATGTCCCTCCCTCCCCTAGCAGTTTTCCTCCACTGCCAATCCTACCCCCCCCGACAGTTTCCCACTACTGCCAGTCCCTTTCTTACAGTATTAGAATTGTTCAAGTTCTGCTTATGAGTCAGAACATAGGTACTGAATTCTTTGTTTCTGTGATAGATCATTGAGTATGATCGACTCTGAATCCATCCAAGTTGCTGCAAAGTCCATATGTTTGTCCTTCTTTATTAGCCTTTATTTTTAAGCAAAGCCCAGACATCAAATAATTTCTTCTGTAAATATTTCAGTATACATCTTTAGAACAGTGATTTTCAGGTCTTTTGACTGCAGAATCCCAACAGTTCTCATTCTTTACTAACAGAATCCCCTTTTGTTTATGTGAGTTGTATCTATTGATATATTTATTATATTAGAAATTAAAACCGAGAAAGACTTCAAATATTAACTTACTTTAAAAAACACTAATAAACTCATTACTTGATAGCATGCACATGTTTAATGAAAAATAAATATATTTTCCAAATAAATTTAATGATAATCTCTTTAATGACCTTGCTTACTAGAAAATAGCTAGGTTCTTGTTTTTGTTTGTTTTGGTTTTGGTTTTGTTTTTTTTTTTTTTGAGTTGGAGTCTCACTCTGTTGCCCAGGCTGGAGTGCAGTGGCATGCTCCCGACCACTGCAGCCTCAACCTGCTGGGCTCAGGAGATCCTTCAGCCTCAGCCCTCCAAGTAGCCAGAACTACAGGCACGTACTGCCATGCCCAGCTAATTTTTTGATTTATTGTAGAGACGAGTTCTCACCATGTTGCCCAGGCCGATCTTGAACCTGCAAACTCAGGCAGTCCTTGCCTCGGCCTCCCAAGGTGCTGAGATTATAGGCTTGAGCCACCGCACCCAGCCGGTAGTTAGGTTCTTCTATCTACTTCTGCATTCATTCCACTGCAGTATTTTATTGATTGATTGATTGAGACAGGGCCTTGCTCTGTTACCCAGGCTAGAGTGCCGTGGCACAGTCATGGCTCACTGCAGCCTCAAACTACTGGGCTCAAGTGATCCTCCCGCCTAGCTTTCTGAGTAGTTGGGACTACAGGCATGCTATTTAAAACATTTTTTGTAGCTGGGCTCGGTGGCTCAGCCTGTAATCCCGCGCCTTTGGGAGGCTGAGGTGAGTGGATTGCCTGCGCCTGCGGGTTCGAGACCCGCCTGGGCAGCGAGACCTCATCTCTAAAATAAATAAAAAAATCAGCCGGGCATGGTGTAGCGCATGCCTATAATTCCGTCTACTTGGAAGGCTGAGGCGGAAGGATCGCCGGAGCCCAGCAGGTCGAGGCTGTGGTGGCCGAGAGCGACCACTGCACTCCAGTCTGGGCGACAGAGTGAGACTCCAACTCAAAACAAACAGACAAACAAACAAAAAACCATTTTTTGTAGCGACTAGGTCTTGATATGTTGCCCAGGCTTGTCTCAGACTTCTGGCCTTCAGCAGTCCTCCTATGTTGGCCTCCCAAAGTGTTGAGATTACAAACATGAGTCATCGCACCCAGCCTCTTGAGAATCTAATGTATCTACCCCACTTGGGGACCTTCTGTTGCACATCAGATGGCAGACGTCTGCCCTTCCCACCAGTTAGAGTGCTAAGGTATAAAAGTTAGAGCCAGTTCTCATTCTTTACTAACAGCGTTCTTGACCTTTGCCCTTTGCTGTCATACAAAGTGGGGTTTATAATAAAAAGTAAGTACAAGATAATAATCTGTTGTTCTTCCCTTAACAGTGATGGTGGCCTGCGTTTTGGAGAAATGGAGCGAGACTGTCAGATTGCCCATGGGGCAGCCCAGTTTTTAAGGGAAAGGTTGTTTGAGGCATCAGATCCGTATCAGGTTCATGTGTGCAATCTTTGTGGAATAATGGCGATTGCTAACACCAGGACCCATACATACGAATGCAGGGGCTGCCGCAATAAAACCCAGGTGTGTAGAGACTTAGTGATAGTTACTGTTTGCTTAGAAAAAAGCATGCTGGTCAAATTACCAGGCAGATTTAGTGTGGTGGAACAGATTGGCATTTTGACAGTGTTGACAGCACACCTCTGTAAGATTCCTAGTGCTAAACAAGAAAGAAACAATTTGGTTTTTCTAAAAACCAGTTAAGTTTTAGTGTGGTAATTTCTCCAAGCTATGCATCTCTTGGAAATAATAAGAACTCGTACAAGGAATTTTAAATAATCCATTTTTTAAAAAACTTTTTAATTGAAGAGGGTGAGTATCAATTATATCTGGCAGAAAGGTTGAACTTCCAAAGCCTGATGGAAAAGAGCCTCCGCCAGCCACAGCAGCGGAGTGCGTGTTCTTGGCACCACTCACTCACTCACCATGTGTAGTACTGGGTTTTGGCCTTTCCCTAGGGGAGGAGCGGGCTGTTTCAATGAGTTCTGCTAATTCCTGTATGTTTTCTCTTTTCAGATTTCTTTGGTGCGAATGCCCTATGCATGCAAACTGTTGTTTCAGGAACTTATGTCCATGAGTATTGCACCTCGAATGATGAGTGTTTAGCTGTTTTAAAAGATCTCAACAAGATACTTGTAAATACCTATCTTTGTGTCTTGTTTCTATGATTTGACTTTTGAAAGAATGACAACTATGTAATGTGTTGCGATAAAAAGCATTTTATTTGTTTTGTTTAGTGACATGCATGCTTTTCTTCTGTAAATAGACAATAAATTTTTGTAGTCTTGATGTGTTATCTTTATTTTGTATAAAACCAGTGAATATAACTAAAGTGTTAGTGGACTGGATTAAAAGAAACTTGTTATTAGGCAAGAACAGGGGTTGTAGTTATCCATGACTACTTTTAGCTTTGCAGACTGATATATTCTGCAAGTTTATAGCTCAGCACCTTCACCTGTTTAAAAAAGGAAAAAGATAAAAATTAGTTTCATGTAGGGGCATGGGTGACTGATTGTCAGCTAGTTGTTTCCAAATGAAGACATTAAGATGTGGGGATAAAGCATCTATGAATAATTGTCTAGATGGTACTTACATTGGAGTGCTCTATGGAGTTTTGAGTTTTATGATTTTAGCTATGGAAGGCAATTTTGCTGTATCAGTTGATGCATCAAAGTTGTTGAACCTTATGGAACCAGAAGAGCACATTTCACAAGCTACCATGGTGGGATCCAGAGAGGCTGAGGACTTTCCCTTGGTGGCCCAGCACTCAAAAAGTTGGGGAATAATGAGTGGCAGAGCTGAGGTTCATCCCTTGACGCCATTGTTAGCTGCTGCTCAGTTTGTCCTATTGCCTGGCAAGACACATCTTGGCTAAGAGACGCTGGCCAGACACGTCTTCACTTGATACTTCCCTGCACACCACAGCTGAGTAATCTGCACAGTGGAATGGCTTGACAGATGCTGACCGTAAGTTTTTTTTTTAATTTTTGGCTGAGGGAAAGCCAATTCAGACATCTGTCTAATCGAAATAGATAAATGTAAAGTAGCATTGCTATGATGCTGTCAGGAGAGGCGTGTCAGGAAGCTTTCAGCAGTGAAGTGGAGGTGGAATAGAACTGGGCATTTGCCAATATCCTCTCTGGCTTTTTCTTCTAAAAGCTAAAAGTGGAAGGCTAGAATTGCCTACAATTGTTTTCTTTTCTTTTTTTTTTGAGTTGGAGTCTCTGTCACCCAGACTGGAGTGCAGTGCCTGTTCCCAGCCACTGCAGCCTCGACCTGCTGGGCTCCGGCGATCCTTCCGCCTCATTCTTCCGAGTAGCTGGAATTACAGGCACGCACTACCATGCCCAGCTGATTTTTTAAAATTTTTTTTATTTTGTTGTAAAGATGAGGTCTCGCCAAGTTGCCCAGGCGGGTCTCGAACCCGCGAGTTCAGGCAATCCACTCATCTCAGCCTTCCAAAGCGCGGGATTACAGGCTGAGCCACCGAGCCCAGCTCAGTTGTTTTCTTTTAAATGGGAATGTCATACAATAGTCACAACACAAAGGAGAAATGCCATGTAGATAGATAGAAAGTTATGGGAAATAGAAGCCATTCCAGGCAAGTTTGAGTTTTGACTCTTTGGTGTAAGAGAAAGTAAAAGCATAAGTCATAATCATGACATTCAACCAGTTGTCCAAATACTAACTCCATTTTTTTTTTTTTTTTTTTTGAGTTGGAGTCTCACTCTGTCACCCAGACTGGAGTGCAGTGGCCTCCCAGCCACTGCAGCCTTGACCTGCTGGGCTCCCGCGATCCTTCCGCCTCAGCCTTCCAAGAAGCTGGAACTACAGGCGTGTGCTACCATGGGCTTTTTTTGATTTATTATAGAGATGAGATCCAAGTTGCCCAGGCGGGTCTTGAACCCACGGGCATAGGCAATCCTCTCATCTCAGCCTCCCAAAATATGGGATTACAGGCTGAGCCATTGAGTCCAGCTTATGCTCTGCATTTTAATGGCTTACTTTGTGCCCTTATGGATTCCCAACCACAGAACTTCATTAATAGCTGTGCCGAATACTTTCATACTTGGTTATTCTTTATTAAGCAGCTGTCATTTTTCAGCGGCTGTGAGAGACATGACATACCTTTCTTCACAGGTATTTCATGCAAGGCATCAACCACTGTAATTTTTGCTGAAGCGGAAGCCTGTCCTTGGGAGTTGGACGCGTGACACTCGTATTCTCCAGCATCTTCTTTGCTTAGAGGAGACACCTGGGGAAGAGAAGGAATCTTGTTTTACTGTGGAGTCTCCTCCTTTTTCTTTTTTTTTTTTTTTTTTTTTTGAGTTGGAATTTCATTCTGTCACCCAAACTGGAGTGCAGTGGCCGCTCCCGGCCACGGTAGCCTTGACTTGCTGGACTCTGGTGATCCTTCCACCTCAGCCTTTCAAGTAGCCGGAAGTACAGGCGCGTGCTACCATGCCCGGCTAATTTTTGATTTATTGTAGAGATGAGGTCTCGCCAAGTTACCCAGGCAGGTCTTAAACCCGTGGGCTCAGGCAATCCACTCACCTCGGCCTCCCAAAGCGCTGGGATTACAGGCTGAGCCACTGAGCTCGGCTCCTCTTTTTTCAGTGACTTCAATGAGGTTATTATTGCCTACGTTGCCTAGGATGACCAAGGATTTGTAGCAGAGGTACTGCTAGAAGTGGTGTAAGCCCCATGCCAGGAGACTTAGGTCTTCACCGTGTTTGGGCTGCTGAGAGGCTGCATCTGAGGAAATGTCACGGACAACTTCTGATCAGATTGCATAGGTGAAAAACTGGACAGGTGCACATGTCAGTTTGAGGGAAAACTTGACAGAGTACATGATCTAAGTACTGTCCATGAATATCAAAGGCCAAGCAAAGTAAGGTAACTACTGAATAATCAATTAAAATAATTCATGCTTGGATCATTTAGTTCCTATGAGGATTTGGCTTTTTTTTTTAATTGGTCATTTGTAGAGACAAGGTCTCGCTATGTTGCCCAGGCTGGTCTCAAACTCTTGGGCTCAAGCCATCCTCCCTCCTTAGCCTCCCAAAGTGCTGGGATTACAGGCATGAGCTACCACACCTGGCTGGATTTTGCTTTGAACTAGGAAAAAAAAAATTAGTTTTCAGTCATTCACTGGTTGTTTCCAAGACATACGGCAAACCTCAGCTCCATTAGTTCCCTCTAAAAGGAGAAGCAAGCCCATGGCAGGCCCGTTTCAAGGATGTGGAAAGCAAGACCCTGCAGGTCGGCGGTACCCTGGGCACCCTTGCCAGGTCCGCTAGTGGTTAACTCTGCAAAGGAAACTGGCCGACTCTTGGTACTCACCAGCACCCAGCCAGTGACTTCGTGCTTTTCTGGGCCACCCCGGGTCTGAATGGCCAGGTTGTCTCGGTCACCAGGCAAGAGCTCTGTCCTTTGAACTCCATAATGACCCCGTTTTACCTGCAAAAACAAACAGTCTCAGTTCTCTGCCCTACTACCTTAACTTGGAAGCGGCCACATTCCTAGAATTGCACAGGGCGTACGTCAGACTTGCTAATTGGATTAAATGCAGTAATGGATTCAACGATTTCCCTTTCCTGGATACTTGTAAAATACAGATCGCCTTTTATTCTTTCCTGCCAGTTTCCCACTAAGCTTACATGTTTTAAATTAATGTATTTTTCTGCATGCTTGAGGGTATGCACATGGTCAGAATTTCCTGCTGTCTGGCTACCATCATTCACTCATGACCTTGGAAATTCCATTCCTTGATGTCAGGCCTTTTCTCACCCAGCAGGCCACGTTTGACAAACTGTCACCCAGTGCTAGGCTCGATGCTTGGGCCCTTGGGGAGTGCTCTTCCTGTGACAGTCTCTTCAATGGAAAACAGTGGGCTGACACCCAATCAATAGCATTACTTTGTCCTGAGGGCTGAGGATTAATCAAATGATTCATTGATGATCTGAGATGAAAAATCCTGTCATAGACATGCTGTTTAGTGAGAACTCATCTCTACAAAAAATTTTAAGAAATTAGCCAGGTGTGTGGCACGCCCATGTCATCCTAGCCATTCAGGAGGCAGAGGCGGAAGGATCGCCTGAGCCCAGCAGGTGGAGGCTGTGGTGAGCCGTGATCATGTCACTTCACTCCAGCCTGGGCAGCAGAGATCTGCTAATGTCTGTCTATATTGCCCAGCCCCTAGAGAAGGGCATGGCAAGGGTTTGAGCGCTCCTGTGCATTCTGGAGGGCTAATAAAAGGTGTGCTTGCTTCCCTTATCTCCTGTGCACTCCTAGTAAGTAGCTTCAAGGGATCCTTGACTTCCCTGCAGACCATGCCCAATAAACTGAAAGATGTAAATCCCCATTTATTCCTTTTTCTTTTTTTTTTTTTTTTTGTGAATTGGAGTCTCACTCTGTCACCCAGACTGGAGTGCAGTGGCCGCTCCCGGCCACCGCAGCCTCGACCTGCTGGGCTCCAGCGATCCTTCTGTAATCCCAGCCTTCCAAGTAGCGGAACTACAGGTGTACACTACCACATCACCTGGCTAATTTTTGATTCATTGTAGAGACAAGGTCTCACCAAGTTGCCCAGGTAGATCTCGAACCCGCGGGCTCAGGCAGTCTACTCGCCTTGGCCTGCCAAAGTGCTGGGATTACAGGCTGAGCCACCGAGCCTGGCCTATTCCCTTTTCTTAGTAGTCATAGGTTTGAATAATATAGTATCAATGTCATCTTAAGTCTTGTGATTTGTACAACATTTGTATCAATGTAACCGTAAGTTTTGTGGAATGCATGATGTCTCCGGTCTTATAAACTCCCTTTACTCGATGGCAAGCCTGATTAACGCTTCTGCTGGGCCCTACTGAGAAAAGCCATGAGATACCTCAGATACTGGGCACCAGGAAGTCTGGACCAAAAAGTGTCATTATTAATAAATGCAGCTGAAACTCAAGTTCTATACACTTTGCTGGTCACGTGGCTCATGTATAGGTACTAACAACTTTCAAAAGTGAACTGTAAAAACCTGGAGGGAGGGCAGAACCATTTTAGAAAGACCTCAAGTCTGGCTCTGCTCTCTGGATTCCAACTCAGAAGTAAACTCTACCAGTTCTCTGCCCCTTTATCAGTATCAAGGGGAGTAGCGGAGTGTTATTTGGACCATAACAGAGTGAGACCCTGACTCAAAAAAATATATGCTGTTCTTTTATGACAAAATTTGCTGACTATTCCTGGGCATGTTCCTACTGAGATTCAAAAGGGCGGGTTAAGAAGAAACTCAGTTGATTCAAGGCCAATAATGAACACTGTCCTTATTTTCTCCCTCATTTTAAAAGACAAACTGTGTTTATTATATAAACTTAGGAAAACACATGAGAATGAAATTTACTTGTAACCCCCTCATCCATATACATTTAACAGCTGAGTCAGAGTACAAATATCTTCAGCCTCGTGATAATGGTGAGTTAAAAAAAAAAGATACACGAAGCAATGTTTGTTCCCTCTATCCCAGGATTCTTTTAAGCGCCCATGTGGCATTTATTGATAGGACGTTTGTAATTAGAAAGAAGGATTTACAATCTCAAACAGGGAGTTTTCGTTTTTGGGGGGCGGGGTTGGAGTCTTACTCTGTCGCCCACTGCAACCTTGACCTGCTGGGCTCAGGTGATCCTTCTGCCTCAGCCTTCCAAGTAGCTGGAACTACAGGCATGTGCCATCACGTCCAGCTAATTTGACTTGATTTATTGTAGAGATGAGATCTTGCCAACTTGTCCAGGCTGGTTTGGAACCTGTGGGCTCAGGCAACCCTCTCATCTTGGCGTCCCAAAGTGCTGGGATTATAGGCGTGAGCCACCATACCTGGTCTTTATTTATTTATTTATTTTGAGCCGGAGTCTCACTGTCGCCCAGGCTGGATTGCAGTGGCATGCTCACAGCCACCACAGCCTTGACCCGCCGGGCTCAGGTGATTCTTCCTCCTCAGCCCTCCAAGTAGCTGGAACTACAAGTGCATGCCACCATGCCCGGCTATTTTTTTTTTTTTCTTTTATTGTAGAGATGAGGTCTTGCCAAGTTGTCCCAGCAGGTCCCAAATCCCTGGGCTCAGGCAATCCTCTCACCTCTGCCTCCTTAAGTGCTGGGATTACAGGCGTGAGCCACTGCGCCTGGCTCATTTTCTTCTATAATAAAGCAAATCTTAAATTGCAAAAGACCAGACCATAGTATATAATCTTTTTTAAAAAGATGCGGTCTCACTATGTTGTCCAGGCTGGTCTTGAACTCCTGGGTTTAAGTGATTATGCTGCCTCAACCTCCCAAAGTGCTGGGAATAGAGGCATGAACCGCTTCATCGGCCTGGCCTGAACTCTTTATACATTTCTTTTTTGGAGTTAGAGTCTCATTCTGTCACTCAGGCTGGAGTGCAGTGGTTCGATCACGGCTCAAGACAGCCTCAACCTCCTGGACTCAGGCAATCCTTCTGTCTCAGCCTCCTGAGTAGCTGGGACTATAGGAGGGCGCTACCATGCCTGGCTACTTTTTTGATTTTTTGTAGAGACGAGGTCTCACTTATGTTGCCCAGGCTGGCCTGGAACTCCTGAGCTCAAGCCATCCTCCCATCTCCACCTCCCAAAATGCTGGGATTATAGGCATGAGCCACCACACACAGCCATATCTGTATTCTTAACAGTCGGGTGATAAGGAACCAAATAACCTGTTTCATTATCGAGACCAGTGACTTTCCAAGTGTTATGACATGGCCCAAAATAAAGAAAAACAAACATTTTACTTTATAATATGGAATATACAGAATAGAAGTTTTAGGACATGATAACTTAATGAGTGATAAGCGTACTTCAACATATTTTGCATTCTATTTTTTTTAGTTTTTAAAGCTTTGCGTTCTATTTTTATTTTTATTTTATTTTATTTTATTTTTTTGAGTTGGAGTCTCACTCTGTCACCCAGACTGGAGTGCAGTGGCCGCTCCCAGCCACCGCAGCCTCGACCTGCTGGGCTCCGGCGATCCTTCCGCCTCAGCCTTCCGAGTAGCCGGAATTACAGGCATGCGCCACCACACCCAGCTGATTTTTTGATTTATTGTAGAGATGAGGTCTCGCTGCCCAGACGGGCCTCAAACCCGCGGGCTCAGGCAATCCACTCACCTCAGCCTCCCAAAGGCACGGGATTACAGGCTGAGCCACCGAGCCCGGCTGCATTCTATTTTTAAATTTTAAAATAAGCTTTAAACATTTTTAATTATTCAGAGAAAGGGTCTTGCTCTGTCTGGAGTGCAGTGACGTGATCACAGCTCACTGAAACCTTGGACTCCTGGGCTCAGACGATTCTCCTGCCTCAGCCTCCTGAGTAGCTGGGATTACAGGTGCACACCACCACGCCTGGCCGCTTTTTAAATTTTGTTGTAGAGACAAGGTCTCGCTATGTTGCCCAGGCTGGTCTCAAACTCCTGGTCCCAAGCAATCCTCCCACCTCAGCCTCCTAAAGTGCTGGGATTACAGCTGTGATGCACCATGCCCAGGCTTGGTTCTCCTTTTTATTTTTTATAAGAACGTGCTGGTTGTGATTCCTGCACTGATTTTTGGGACTCACTGATGGCTTCTGGTCTGACCTAAAGCAATGCCGTCTTGGCAAACCACACGACAGAGGCAGAGAAAAATCAGCAGGACATCGGGGTTGGGTTTTGCTTCAAACAAGTCTGTCGAAAATTATTTTTTCTCTCATCCCCTTCGTCCCCACGCCCCTTCGTCAGCCTTGACGCCGAGTTCCCGAACAGCCCCGAGGAAGAGCCCTCAGGGAGGCCCATGGGACCTGGCCGCAGAGTCCCTGAGGCTTAGAGATTGGGAGGCGCATTCATTCCCCCGGGATGTGAATACTTCAGCTGGGGTTGGGGAGGCCAGGACGGAAGACATCATTCTCTGCTGAGATTTGCCAACATAGCCGGGCTTGGTGGCTCAGCCTGTAATCCTAGCGCTTTGGGAGGTCGAGGTGAGTGGATTGCCTCAGCCCGCGGGTTCGAGTCCTGCCTGGGCAACTTGGCGAGACCTCATCTCTACAATAAATCAAAAAATCAGCGGGGTGTGGTAGCGCGCGCCTGTAGTTCCAGCTACTTGGAAGGCTGAGGCGGAAGGATCGCCGGAGCCCAGCAGGTCGAGGCTGCGGTGGCCGGGAGTGGCCACTGAGCTCCAGTCTGGGCGACCGAGTGAGACTCCAACTCAAAAAATAAATAAATAAATAAATAAATAAAGATTTGCCAACATCAATAAAACAAACAACAGATGCTGGCAAGGATGTGGAGAAAAAGGAACGCTTCTACACGGCTGGTGGGAATGCAAACTAGTGCCACCTTTTTGGAAGACAGTGTGGCGGTACCTGAAAGAACTAGAAATTGACCTTCCATCTGACCCAGCAATTCCCCTATTGGGAATATACCTGGAGGAACTCAA